TTACACCAAATACACAAAATAATGTTATTTTTAGCAACATCATATGACCCCTTTAAAGTTTTTATGGTTTTAGTTAATAACCCTGCTATTAACATATGAAAAGTAAATTATTACCTACTGACTGATATAACCTGCAGTAAGAGTCACTCAACAAATCAGGGAACAATTTTGAATAGAATAGAATAGAACACAACACAACACAATAAAATAAAATAAAATAAAAAAAATATATATAAAAAAATAAAAATAAATAAATAAAGATTTATTTTTGTAAACTAGTTTAAAAGATTTGAGTCTCTGAAATGAATCAAAATCCCCATTCCTAGTGTGTAAGTACCTATATAATTTTCTGTGTCTATATGATCTTTGTATTCTTTGTAGGGAAAAAGCAGCATGAACATTCTTCAAAATATCTTCTTTTGTGCTCCACAGAAGAAAGTCAACAACATGAGTGTGGATATATTGTATTCATGAATTCAGTCTATTAATTTGGTCCCAAGCAGTCATGCAACTAAGCAAACCTAAGAAAACAAACGTCAGTTATGCAAATCGTTATTTTGCCACCTTTTACCTACAAGCTCAAGATTGGTCCACACGCTCTGCTTAACAATTACTAAATTATGTTGACAACAGGACAAGTCAGCAAAACGGAAAGTTTGCTTTAGAATTTTTATGGATCTTATTAAATCGTCCAGCAGGCCCTTAGGTAAGGAGATGAGGGGGATGACAAAGAAAATATGAGAAAAATAGGGGAGTGTTCGGAAGCGAGGGAGGAATGAAGACTTGCATCACGAGCTACGGCCTGAAATGGGGGTTTTAAATTTCACGCTATGCATTTAATTTCAATAAGGCCTCTGGAAAGAGAATACACAATATGACAGCTCAAAAAACCCAAGAGATAGAAGAACTTATCTGATGGAGACACGTGACTCGCTAGATTAATTGAACTATGACTACTATAGATAGTGTTGCACTTGACTCCTGTTTATTACTGCTCTGATAAAGAGCCTAATGCATAAAAGGAGCCCAAAGGAACATAATATAGCGACTGCATAGTTTCAAATGTGTACATGCATAACTTGAGTAATGCATGGTTTAAAATGTTGTACATTGCTCCAGTTCAATCACAAAGTCTTGCCTTGAGCTTCAATGAAAGCTCTTTCAGTTTTAAAACAGAGAAGGCATTTTGTATGCTAATGCAGGAAACTAAAACAATACAAAGGAGAACATTTCTCTCAGGATGCACTGTGGCACAAAGCTTTCCAGGTTTAGAAATCACACTTAAAGGAATAATTCACCCCCAAAATTAAAATTTGATTAAATGTATTACCCCTCAGACCATCTAAGATGTATATGAGTTTATTTCTTCATCGGAACAGATTGGGAGAAATTTAGCATTACTTCAATGGAATCTTCAAGCAGTGAATGGGTGCCGTCAGAATGAGAGTCCAAACATTCTTCAAAATATCTTCTTTTGTGCTCCACAGAAGAAAGTCAACAACATGAGTGTGGATATATTGTATTCATGAATTCAGTCTATTAATTTGGTCCCAAGCAGTCATGCAACTAAGCAAACCTAAGAAAACAAACGTCAGTTATGCAAATCGTTATTTTGCCACCTTTTACCTACAAGCTCAAGATTGGTCCACACGCTCTGCTTAACAATTACTAAATTATGTTGACAACAGGACAAGTCAGCAAAACGGAAAGTTTGCTTTAGAATTTTTATGGATCTTATTAAATCGTCCAGCAGGCCCTTAGGTAAGGAGATGAGGGGGATGACAAAGAAAATATGAGAAAAATAGGGGAGTGTTCGGAAGCGAGGGAGGAATGAAGACTTGCATCACGAGCTACGGCCTGAAATGGGGGTTTTAAATTTCACGCTATGCATTTAATTTCAATAAGGCCTCTGGAAAGAGAATACACAATATGACAGCTCAAAAAACCCAAGAGATAGAAGAACTTATCTGATGGAGACACGTGACTCGCTAGATTAATTGAACTATGACTACTATAGATAGTGTTGCACTTGACTCCTGTTTATTACTGCTCTGATAAAGAGCCTAATGCATAAAAGGAGCCCAAAGGAACATAATATAGCGACTGCATAGTTTCAAATGTGTACATGCATAACTTGAGTAATGCATGGTTTAAAATGTTGTACATTGCTCCAGTTCAATCACAAAGTCTTGCCTTGAGCTTCAATGAAAGCTCTTTCAGTTTTAAAACAGAGAAGGCATTTTGTATGCTAATGCAGGAAACTAAAACAATACAAAGGAGAACATTTCTCTCAGGATGCACTGTGGCACAAAGCTTTCCAGGTTTAGAAATCACACTTAAAGGAATAATTCACCCCCAAAATTAAAATTTGATTAAATGTATTACCCCTCAGACCATCTAAGATGTATATGAGTTTATTTCTTCATCGGAACAGATTGGGAGAAATTTAGCATTACTTCAATGGAATCTTCAAGCAGTGAATGGGTGCCGTCAGAATGAGAGTCCAAACAGCTGATAAAAACATCACAATAATGCACAAGTAATCCACACATCTCCAGTTCATCAATTAACACCTTGTGAAGCGAAAAGCTCCATGTTTGTATGAAACAAATCCATCATTAAAACGTTTTAAACTGCTGCTTTCAGCTATTGCTTTCTCCAGTGGAAAAGTCATCTCGTCTGAATCAGGAGAGAAATATGCACTGTTTACAAATGGAAACAGTCCAAAACAGATATAAAACAAAACAAATATGCTGGTGGATTTTGATGATTGAGGACAAAAGAGATTGGACTTTTTCACTAAAGGAAGTGTTGTTATAGATTATGGACTTGTTTTTTGTTTGTTTGTTTTTTTACCAGAAGGGATTGTTTAAAGTTAAAATGTCTTAATAATGAATTTGATCTTACAGACATACAGCTTTTTGTTTCACAAGATGTTAAATGAGGGTCTGGAGCCATTTGGATTACTTGTGGATTATTGTGATGTTTTTATCAGCTGTTTGGGACTCTCATTCTGACGGCACCCATTCACTGCAGAGGATCCATTCGTGAGCAAGAGATTTAATGTTACATTTCTCCAAATCTGTTCTTATGAATAAAAAACTCTTTACATCTAGGACAGAGGATAAGTACATTTTTTTTATTTTTTTGGGTGAACTATTCCTTTAAAAATCTCATATATCCAGGTTTTTCATCAACTATCTTGATTTTTAGCTGTTTTGGCTTATTTTAAATAATTTAAAGTCATCTTAAGGCCACCTTAGAACTTTGCCGAGGCCCCCTAGTGGGCCCCTGGCTTCTAGTTAAGAACCATTAGTGTAAATGTCTATTATGTCATTAATATTAATCAAACAACTGTATTAAGAAGAAGAAAAAAGAAGAAACTGTACATATTTTAATTATAGACTTGCTTTTTAGTCAAACTCCAACAGCATCAATATTAATTTATTTGATCTACGAATTAGGTAGGGTTGTTTTACATTTAATTTCTGTGAATGTTTACTTGAACACCTGATACAGTACTGCTGTTAGATACCTGAACACCACTGTTTACTTCATTTGCATCTTTGTTCTGTTGTATTAATTTGAATCCAGTTCTTGTAATGTGATTCTTGAATCTTTATTTGATTACTGAACTTCTAATTAAATGAGAAGTTGTTTACTCGTTTTTAATTACTTGGGCAATTTTAAAGGCTACGTTCCATTACTTTAATTCAATTTGTATATATTTATATTAATATAATTAAAGTGTGCGTTTAATACCATAATAGTTTTTGCTGTGGTATTAAAATTGGTATTGGGAAATTTAAGTGGCATTGTTTTCAATGTGCTCTAATAGCACTCTGAGCTCCGTTAAACAAATATCCTCGCATATTTTCCACCACAATCAGCATAGACAAAGAAAAACAGACTCATATGTTGGCATATGAATGCTGTATGTTGCTATATGTTTATGGTAACAAATAGTATAGTTTGCTTACCAATATAGAGTTGGGCAGATTGTTGAATTCCATTGGTTCAGTGAAGAACTCAGTGTTGTGGTCCAGTCTGCCATGACCTCCATACTGGATTTCATCCGAGTCCAGTTTGATCTTATATCTGGAGATCAGTGTGGTTAAGGAACCCAAAGATATACTGGAGACACAACTTATGAGAAGGAGAAGATAAATAAGTCACATTACAGTAAACTATACTCTTTTCTTTCTTTATATGATTTTGATGGACAAAGTATCAACTGAGGGATCAAATAAACATATGGATCCATCAAAATGCTTGGATATGATGCTCTTAAAGTTACTTTCTGTCATTATTTACTCAAAACAAGCCATGGTGTCCACTGGATGTGAACTGGTTGTCCACTTTTTAGAGACGCTCTTCAGCTCGTCAGAATGCAGAGCTGCACTGCAAGTCAACAGCACTGATTGCTTTGAGCTCCTCCGAGACAATGACACGCATTTGTCCCATAGAAACACGCGCGCCAAAACCGATGAGCCACCACATCAACAATTCCAGGCAGAATTATTTATCCATTTCAAAATATTAATAATGTATTCCATCAAAAAATGTTTCAAACAACACGAAACGTGCACTCAGAAAATTTCACTCGGTCTGTGCTACACTGACTAAATTAAATATTAAAAAAAGTAATTGCCTAGACTCATGACCGGAATAAGAAATATCTTTGACAGAGAGCATAAAAGAATAATGAAGACACATTTAGTGAAAACTGGAAATCTATTTCATGCTTTTGTGTTTTAAGTTATACACCCCCCAAAAATGGAAAGATGCCTTGAAAATGTAAGGTGCTGAGCTTGCTGAACATCTGGACTGCCTAATTTATTTCCATTATAAGTGCATTAATGCTGAAATGATCTGTGCTAACTGACAGCATGTCACAGATGCTCTTGATAGAGCTAAAGTTAAATCGAATCATTATTTAAAGACAACATAAAACAATTTAACTTCCATAAAGTGTCATTTTTCCAAGTGAAACAATATTAAGTGGAAAATAATGTAGGTTAAAACTGGTTAATTTTACTTTCCTTTGCAAACGGGTACAAAAAAGGCCATCACAAAAGAAAGTCTGTAAAAGACTGCAGTTAAGTTACTGCATTTAATTAAAACTGATGAGTTGTGCACAGTAAGATCAGTGACATTTATTAAGATAAATAGTAAAAAAAAGAAAGAAAAAAAAAGATAAGGGACATTTATTAAGATAAAGAGTAAAATTTTAGAGTCGATTTCATGTTTTTTTTTAATTTTTTTATAATGCTAAAAAAAAGATGTGATTCTCAACTGGGGAAGCAGGGAAAACAACCAGTTGTTATTCATACAATCAGCCATAGTTAAATCAATAGTTATTTAAAATAAATAGACTTCATTTTTGAAAAAGGGAGTAAATTGCGCAGCAGGCAATGTAGTTAATGGAAATATTATTATACAATATTATATAAAATGTAACATTTTTTATTATTTATATGCACAACGACAACAATTAACATTTATTATTTTTAATAATAATAATAATAATAATAATAAAAACAAAATAAAAAAATATTATTATTATTATCAATATTTGTCCTTTAGGAAATTTCTGCTTACTTTTGGTACTGTTGGATCGCCATAATAAGGGTCCTGAAGTAAAACCAGTTCAGAACCACTGCTACACATATTGTACCATATGCGTCTTCAAATCTACAGAAAGCAAAATATAAAACGTTTTAGTTATGTGACAGTTAATATACAGTTTTCACCCTCGAAGTGTAAGTAAACAACTGTATTCCTTTGGCACAAGGAAGGAAAAGACGGAGAAGCTGGAGTCCCCAGTCTCTCCACTCCTGCTCTCCATCTCTGTTTACCTTGGCCTCTCAGGGGTTTAAACAGTTGTGAGTTGTAACAAACATGCAGACTGGCGTCTAATTGGCTGCTTGAATAATCACCTCCTATCCCCATGGGCTAGCGGTGGGTCTTCGTGTTATCCTCAAACGCTCTCTTACTCTGCCCCGGAGCTGGAGCACACTTGGCTTTTACTGCCAGCTTGCTGGCTTTGATAGCGATGATTAAAAAGAAGTGTTGCTTGGCGTATTGTTCCTGCTGAGGATGACGACAGATGCCCCCTCCCGACCCTACTCCCCCATACTCCTATTTGCATTGAATTCTCTCACTGATAGAACAAACTTCCTTTGTTATGGATATTTCTGAGATGTTATCGGGAAGAGAGTGAGAAAAACAAAATGATCTGATGCCTTCTTTTTTCTCAGAGAGAATTAATGGGGGCTTCATATAAGTTGCTTACTGTCAGGATTTATATAAAAAGTAACTAAAACATTTTGACGTTTGCATCACATAACTAGCTCCATATGGGTTATCTGAAGTAAACTTGCTCGGTAGCTTACCCGGTACAGCACTGGGTTACACTTTATATTAAGATGTCCTTGTTACAGTGTAATTATACATTTAAGTACTGAGTAATATTAATTAACTTCATACACTTACTATGTGGTTTGGGTTATAGGATTAGGGTTTGGGTTAGGTTTACTTGCATGTAATTATGCATAATTAAGTGCTATTTTAATAGTAAGTACATGTAACATGTAACAAGGATACCTTAAAATAAAGTGTTACCCAGCACTGCACTCGCAATAACAAGTACTTAAGTACGAGTCCCGTGAAAGGTGTGTTTTTATTAGTGCTGTCAAACGATTAATCGTGATTAATAGCATTCAAAATAAAAGTTTTTACTTATATAATATATATATATGTTTACTGTGTATATTTATTATGTATATATAAATACACACACATACAGTTATATTTACTGTAAAAATATAATAAAAATATTTACATGTATAAAACCGGACAATAATCCAAAAACAAACCTTAAAAACAACACAAAAACGGGTCACTGAGCACAAAACCAAGTTTCTGCTACGGCCATTCCAGTTCCCTGACCTGAACCCTATAGAAAATGAGTGTGGTGAACTGAAGAGGAGAAGCACCATCATGGAGCTGGGAATCTGAAGGGTCTGGAGAGATTCTGGATGAAGGAATGGTCTCTGATCTCTTGTCAGGTGCTCTCTAACCTCATCAGGCATTATAGGAGAAAACTCAGAGCTGTTATTATGTGTTATTATGCCAAATGGAGGTTTCAAAAAGCACTGAATAAAAGGGTGCCGTTAATTGTGGCCAATGTGTATTAGAGAAAAACATTTATGTCATAATGATATTTCCCCCCATTTTAAATTCTTATTCTCCAATGAAAGGTTAGATTTATGTGAATTTTTTAAATGTAAGATCAAAAATGATTAACAATGCAGATTTATTTTCACAGCCTTCTTTGATCATATTTACCAAGGGTGCCAATAATTCTGACCATGACTGTATATTTATATTCTTATGTTATATATAAATATATTCAGTATATAAACGTAACATATTTTTCTTAAATATATATACATGCGTGTGTTTGTATATATATATATATATAAACTTTTATTTTGGATGCGATTAATCGCGATTAATCATTTGTCAGCACTAGTTGTTATGTTATGTTTGTTTTTGCTCACACTATCAGTTTAGGGTTTAACACCACCCATGGGACATTTATGAATTGTTGTGAAATGTACAGCTAATGTAATAAAACGTTCATTCAGATTCACATTAGTTTTGGATAGAACTGAATGCGCTTTTAGTGCCACTCACTGGATATTTCACTTTGAAAGTGACACAAAATGTACAAGAAGAATCATTATATAATTTTGTAGAAGTGTCGCCACAGGCACATTTTTCTAATAAGCCTTGGTTGGACTTTTAGCACGTAGGCTGGATCACTGAATTAAATAAAACATGACTGAACATCTTTTAACCTGTAACTACGACTGAAATATAGATATCAGTAGTTACATTTTGTACAGAGATAAGCAGTAGTTTTGAATGCTAACATTATTTAATATTTATCTTCATCTATGTTATAAAATGAAGACAAATATGGTATAACATGAAGGCAAATAATTACACAAATCTATCAATGATTTAATAAATATTTTGTATGTAGAGCAGAAAAATAGGACTCAGCAAAACATAATGGTGATCCGCACAAGCACTACTGTTAGCAAGAAAGCTAAATATTCACTTCCCAACCTGAGGTTTGCCTTATTGATTAAAACTGCAGCTAATGTTAAATCTGAGCACAGTTTCACTAAAATAAATTTATTTTGTGGACTTGTAAAATTTAAAACTAGTCTTCACTTCTTCAGCTCAAACACAGTGTCATCATTAGCATCTAGCAGGTTAATTTCATATAAAGGTCCTTTCATATGACTTACACTAGTATTCCACATTGCACTGAACTATACAAAGTGCAGTGTCATGCTATAACGCAATGTTCAGAGTTCAAACAGCTTCAACTTTGACCCTGTTTGCCTGCTGTCCTTTCAAAGAACAGCCATTGAGTAGTGGACAATTTGCATGATGTATCATTATCATTAGCAGAAAAGCTGACAGATAGAAGACATCAAAGGCATATTGTGACAATCTCCTTGCTGAAATAAACCACTTAAACCAGCCTACATTCTTAAAGGGATAGTTCATTAAAAAAAATGAAAATTCTGTCATTAATGACTCTCCCTCATTTCGTTCCAAACCCGTATGACCTTCGTTCATCTTCAGAACACAAATTAAGATATTTTTTATGAAATCCGAGAGCTTTCTGTCCCTCCATAGACAGCAAGAGAACTGCCATGATCAAGATACAGTAAGGCAGTAAGGACATTGTTAAAATAGTCCGCGTGACATGAACATACGAGAATACTTTTTGTGCGCAAAGAAAACAAAAATAATGACTTTAGTCAACGATTTGCAGAGGAATACAATATTGCACAGGCATACATTGTGGAAGGGTTGAACTGCTGATTTACATTTACATTTACATTTAGTCATTTAGCAGACGCTTTTATCCAAAGCGACTTACAAATGAGTGATGAACAGAGGTGTGACATGCGTTCTTTTCGGCTCATTAAAGATTAATCTTGCAGCGCCATTTTGAATTAATTGTAGAGGTTTGATAGAAGTGGCTGGAAGACCTGCCAAGAGAGCATTGC